GTGGAATCAGGAGATCTTGTAACGTCGAGAAATGCAAAAGAAATCGAGATTTTTTCTGTATGTATGGATGTTAGTATGTATGTGTATGGTATGATTTTGTTTACCATATCTGAAGCGTAATAAAACAAACAGCATTATTGTATGCTTTTTGTCAAAAATTTCTGAAATTTTGCAAGGAGGTTTGTTTCTTAATTAATGGATTGATGCTATTAAATTTTGGTCATTAAAGGTCGAGGGGTGAGGAGATAAAATGGTCGTGTGATATCTCCAATATGGTCTGATTAATAACAATTTTACTCGCTTTTAGCGTTTACAGTCTTTATAAAACTTACCCGTAATTTCAAAATTGAGTTTTTGCCATGTTTTAATAATTAAAAATGTAAAATCTTTTTAATAATAAAATATCACAACAGATGGTGGCGGCAAAAACGCCCTTTTCAGAAAAGTTAAGCAACTCATATCTAGATTTTTCCAGTATGTAAATCATACTTTTCCCATCCTGGTATCTCGGTCTTGACATGGTGTTGTGGTTTGTGTACTTGAATGACACTGAGGGTTTAACTGGTGGTAGCCATATCTACTGGCAAGTTTCCTTATGCCAGAAACGTTGCAGGTGAGAAGTCAGACTAAGAGAGTGACATGGTCCTCAGGATAGGGTTTCGACAAAGGACTAACAATCCCCTTATGCTATTCCTGTAAAATGGACTAAAGTGAAAAGAAACCTGTATGCTTTTTGTTCTGTTAAAAGATGCAAACGTGATGCGAGTTTTAGTGTGAAGAGTGTATGGAATTTTCAGTATCTGTCTGAGGTGAAAGAGTAACAACTGTTGAACGTGATGCATGTAAACAGTTTATTTACAAGGTGCATATTAAAAACTTTTAAAATAGATTTTCTTTTGATGTTTACAGAATATTTATAAACTGATACGATAAAAAATGGTTTTAATAATAAAACAGTACAATTTCTTTTTATCCTAAATATTTTATAGTACATAATAGAATATTTTATGTAATAAAAACTTTTCAACAATTTGTTAGATATAAAATCAGTAAATAACATTCCTTCTATCGTTACGACATTCGGAAGTAATTAATGAACCGAAAAAAAGAATATTGTATTTTTACAAAACATGTAAATTAAAGATAAGTACGTGGTTTAATGTCCAAAATGAAAAACCTTTGGTTTAATTATGAGAAGATCAATAAATTTGAAGCCACGATTGCAAACTAAATGGAGAGCGGCCGATTTTTAAATTTGGTATTCTGCACATTGTTGCTTATGCAAACAACGCACTCTCATTTAGACCCACAAACAAATACCCTGCCGGGAAAAGAACGTGTCGTACAAAATGCATTAGTTATGGGGACTGCCGGTCCATAAATTTGATGTCCTCGAAGAAAAATCTACAAAATATATACATTACTCGGTGCAGTTTATGTACATTTAGGTTGAAGGTTACGTGGTTTAGACTCGTCGAACGTCGTCATTAATCTGGACATTCTTACTCGTCTCACAATTTCTAATTATAAAATGTTATTGCATATAAACATAGCACTCGAGGGTGTCGAAGAACGAGATTTTGTACCCTATGATTGTTTTATGTTGTCCAAAGACATGTGTTATCGATAAATTAATTTATTGTTAACAAATGATGATATGTCGTACATACAAATCGTATCTGCTTATGAATGCAGTGTCTTTTGGTAATTTTAGAAATTAATAAAAAATATATGGAAGGAAGGTGAAGGTATTGTGTGCATCTGAAATGAAAAATATGGGCAATTGCTTGAATTAGTGGAAGGGCTTTTTACATATATTGCGCGGTGTACTGTACCTATGAGAGCATTTGAAGAACAGTGAGTGAGTGAGCATTAGAAAAGAACATTAGTATTTGTCTGAAAATTTATGATAAATCTTATGAATGCATTAAGGATAGATTCGTTTGGTCGATGGTGAAACTACACTGTACGAGATTATTGTGTTCTCTAGTTGATTCTGATATAATTAAAAGGAAGGGAAATCTGGAGGATTTTGGTTTGGTGCCTTGAACGAATGCAAGGTGAATGAAAGGAATGTGATTATAATTGATACGAATGGGCATGTAGGTGCATGTGATAGATATTTATAGCCATATGTCGACAGGTATTGTTCTGACGAAGTGAATGTCAGTACTGGATGTCTGATTGAATTATTTTCTGCAAGAGACTTGCTCATATCCAATATGTTTTTTGAGCACAAATCAATCCAAATGTATACATGGGAGACCAGAAAACTAAAGCATAAAGTTTGATTGAATTTGTGATGTAGGATGAGACATTGAAATGGATTCTGAACGATACGAGCATGATGACAGGATTCGAAATAGGACATTAACTGGCTCAATCAAAGTTGCAATTTCTGAGTAACTGGAATATAACATCAACTATTCGACAATTCAACAACTGTCAGTAAAACGCAAAGCAGAAAAGGAAAATATTAGAATGTGTGACAACAGAATACTTTGGAGTGAAAATTACATTGAAGAGAATATGTGTCTGTTAAGGTAAATCATCTGAACATAGATGTTAGACATGTGCCTGAGAATCTTGGGATGCAATGTCAAGAGTGTGGTGCAATGTGCAAGGGAAAAATGTAGTAGTGTGAAGATAGTCAAACAAATGAGATGAATTGCGTGGTAGAATGAAGTTACTGATGCTGTAAAGAGAAAGAAAAAAAGTGTACTCGAAATGTTTGTTGGTGGGAGTAAAGATAACTACAGAGAGCATAACCATAAATGTAAGGAAATTGTGATAAGGATGACGAATTCGCTTTATGGCAGTATAAGATACAACTTAAAGGTAGTCGTGCGTATGTGGGAACAAGGAGCATAAATATAAAAATGATCTGATGTGAAGTGAGATTGTGTTGGAAACGTGGAGAGTATTTCAATGAGCTTTTCGGATATTCACATGTCAGTGATAAGTTGTATAAGCATGCCTGAGAATGAAGACGGTCGTGCATGTAAGCAGATCAATGTATAAGGGATAAGAAAAGTATTTCACAAGTTAAAAATAGAAAAAGCTGCGCGTGGTAATAGAGTATTGTTGAAAATTTAGAATATCGTGGCGATGTGTTGTTAACATGGCTGACAAACCCTTTTTGCTTGTACTGATATAAAGGCTAGGTGCCAAATGATTGGAAAGTTGCTATTATCGTTTCAAAGTATAAAATTAAAAGATGACAGGGAAGAATGTAATTTTTATAAAGACGACTGAGCGTACGAGGAAAGATATTTTCACAAGTTCAAGTAGGAAAGTTTATGAGAATTACAAGAAAGTCTTCTGGAATGCCTAATATGGGCTTGCGGTGGGAAAGATTTGTATGGATCGAATCTTTGGACTGCAAAACACACTGCTGAGAAGTACTTGAGTGTGAATAAGAGAGTTCTTGCTGCGTATATGGATTTGGAGAAAGCATATAATCATGTGGAAAGAGAGTTCTTGTGATTTTCTCCATGAGTGTGGTGTGAGTAGAAAGCTGCTTCAAGCAATAAAAGCAATGTATGAGAAAAGCAAAATGTGTATCAGAGTTTCTGTCAGAATGGCTCAATAAGTCTACGGGCATGCATTAGCACTATGTGATATCTCTCTGGTTATTCAATGTGTACTTGAACAATTGTTCGATAAAAGCAAACCATATTATTGTGAAACTGTTTGGTAAAGGATGTTTGTTTACTTGGGAGGAAACCTTTGAACGAATGGCAGAATAGACAAGGAGATTAGAAGACGAGTAAATGCTTGTAGGAAAGTAGATGCTTAAACAGGACGATTGAGTTGTAGGAATGAGTTCTTGAATAAGACAAATATAGCTGTGTATAATGAAGTTTTTCCGACCCCGTTGTATGGTTGAGTCGAGGGTATGGGGAATAGAGCATAAGAGCGAAGCGATTGCCGCTGAGATAGGATATCCGCTGTGTATATGTGCTGTGATAAGGAGCGTTCTGATCAGTAAGAAGGATGTGTTGGTGCAGTGGGGTGAAAAATAATACAATTGAACAAATGGAGAGAATGTGGCAAGACGAGGTGTATAAGAATCTGTATGTGGTAAGTGTGGAGGAGAACAGAGGGTGTGGAAGACAAGGTAAAGATCAGTGATCAAGCAGAAGACTTTCTGAAAGCAAAACAGATTCTGAAAGTAAGGAGGCGACGAGAGAATGTGAAAGGAATCATGAATGTGAAAGAAGCAAAAGATGTATGTAGGAATAGACAAAAAAAAGCCCAAGATTGTCATGTATATACGTACATGACAATCTTGAGCCTGTTTTGTATATTATGCATGATTTAAGCAAATCCCGGGGTGAAAGATTAGGTGACTGTTTCCGGTATACTATGCTCTGCCTATATGGTGTTGTCTGGAGGGCTGAAGCTTGCAGGGTGTGTTGGACAGGAAGTTCACTTTTCTCTTGGTAACTCCTTTAGGCAATGTCGTGAGAGTACAGTAATCAAGTCATTCTTAGTGATAATATTGTATTGTATATATTGCTACTTGTATGATAATATTATTTTCATTATTTATAAAGTCGTACGGTAAAAATTTATATAATAAAGTTCGAAGTGACAAAAAAGATCTAAATTAGAAATTATCTTATTTGAAATATTTAATTAAAGTTTTAATAATGTATTGAAATAAAAGTTAAATTTTAAAAAATTTCGAGTAAACAGTATGTTCGAAAAAATTTAATTTGAAGTTTAATTCTTAGTCAACTATATTAATTATTTATAAATAAAAATTACACTATCACGTGTTGCACAAAAGTTTTTTGTACTTAATTAAACCTAAAAAAAAGCAAAGCTGTCTTCTATATATCTACAAATTACAAACTAATTTAACCGAACATTATTATGTATTTTAGCACCATCGTTTAAAAAATGTACAAACAGGTATGAAGTGACCTGTATACTGCTGCAGTTATTTCTACTATAAAATCGAAATCTTAATGAACTTAAATAATATTACATACCAGAAAAATAAACGAGAGATTAATCCAGCTGAATCAAATGGGTTGTTTTTCTTTTTTAGATCCATTCTACGATAAAACGTGCTATCTGAAATATTCTATGTCGGGATCTACAGAATTACTCATCGGATATGAGAACACATCAAATACGAAATAATTTTATATGCACATTAAATACGTAAAAGTTTTTTCATTGATAAATTTCTGATGTCTCATCAAGACGTAATAGACGTTTAATTTATCACATAAAATGATATATCAGCTTTGTTCATCTATCTATGTATATAAATAAAAATGTAAATGTTCGTTTGTTGAAAATCTTAAATCTCCGAAAGTTTTTAAGAGATAAATAAAAATTTAAATTTAAATAAACATACTTCGTAAAATAATTTATAATAATAATAATTTAAATGTAGATTCATTTAAAATGGAAACTATTTCTAAATGATATAGTTGCTATACTAATACTATACCCAAGTGTTTTAATTAAGACCTTTATTACAGATAAAGAAAGTTGTAATAATTATTTAACATACAGATAATCAGTTTATTTAACATACTTTATATTATCTGATTGTAATTAAGAGATCAAACTCTAGTTTTGGAAGTGTTGTTTATATAAAATCAATCAGTGTTTTATTTTTTATTTCTTTTTTTATTTCTTCTATCAGAGCAAGAGTGGTTTTGTTGCTAATTTAGATTATTATAATTAAATAACATTAAATATTTTTATAAAATTCTATGCAGACTTCCTTCATGTCAACAATTAGTTCCTAAAAATCAGTTGTAATGTCAGAAAATCAGTAAAGTTGGCCAAAACGGAATTTTTATTATTTAACTCGTAAGGACCATTTTTTATTATTGATGGTTAATGTTCGTGTAAAAATAAAAGCAAATACGATATTAAAAAAATCGAACGTAAAAATTACCGCTAAATCACATCTCCCCGAAATGCGTTTTTATAAGAAAACTACTATAAGAATATAAAATAATTTAAAACAAAATTCTTTTAGTTATAAAATATAGCTTCAGAGATACTAAATTTATATATATTTTTTTCAACTAACACAAACCGCGACGAGACTCATGCAGTTTACAGTGTTTACAAATTTTTGACCGTGAGAACAGCTGTTCTTCGACATTCGCGGGACATTTACATGAACGCCTCAGGGGAGTTTCTAGCAGGCTGTTTACTAGTTATCATTTTATCAATACTCAATTACTGTAGTATATCACGAGAGTTTTGGTCATTTATACTACTTATATATGAGGGGACCGGAAAAAAGAACCAAAACAAAAACTTCTATTCCGTATCGAGGTCGTTTACAAGAAAAGTAAGCCAGGGCACGTTTTACTTACGTAATCACTTAGTGTCGTGTAGAGTCTCTTGTCCTATGCTTTTCGCTACACATACTATACGTTCGAATTTCGAAAGGTTAATTTTAGTTCAAAGAAAAGAAGTAACTAGAAGTTTTTTCAGCAGTTTTATTTTAGACTTTTTATTATTTTAATTCATATATACGATTTTAACATTATACAATATATTAGTGTGTATTCTTTTCAAATTTATCATTAGAAATGTTCGTAGTTAGGCCTGAATGTTAACGACCTGATTGTATGGTTTTAATCTTTTAAATCGAAATATCAAATAATAATAATTATTTTAGTTATTTTCTATTCCTTTCGAATAGAATTTACATACATGCATTTACAGACTATAGAATTTTTCAAAATGCCAAAATGTTGTAGAGTTAGTGGCTGTAAAACAAATAATAGAAATGAAACGGAAACTTTCTCTACCTTTTCTTTATCAAAAGAGCCACTGAAAAGGGTTTGGCTCCGAAAAATTTCCACTGATTTGAGAAGATTAAAAATCATTATATCAGTTATCAGCAGTTATTAGAATATGAAAAAAAATTTGGATTTAAAAGCTTTGTATAGAAGTCATGATGTTCAATTAAAAACAGTGTTACTTTGCAAAAAAACTTTAAAATTTCTGTTAACATAGATATAATTTCCAGAATTTCCTCTTAAAATGTAACCGAATTTACGTTACCAATTTTAGCCAATATTTGCAGGCTATACAGTAAAAAAAAATATAATTAATGGAAAAGAAATGTATCATTTGTCAGTATTGGCATAAATCAAATAAAGAAGTAGCAGTTCAATCCAATGAATTGATTTTTCTTCTTGGTAGTGGGAAATTAACTTTATCTAATAAATTTGCTACTATTACAATTGCTGCTTCATGGTTCTCATTGCAAATAATAATTAATAAAATTTAGGACACCTTTTTAGTACAAAAATGTGTAAAAGATTAGTTACATTCAACTTAATCAATATTTATCTCTATCATCATATAATATTTTTCATGAATGTCTTTGCAAAATTACTTTGCAAATTCTACTAAAAGCCATTTAGGTTTATAGGTTGTAAAATCAAATTAACAGAATTTATATTTGTAATTATTAAAGATAACATTAATTATATCTTAAAGGTATTTTGTATTAAATTTTCATATTATATTAAGTTGTAAATTTTATTGATTCTATCTTATCCTATGTATGTATCTTGTAATAGTAATAACTCATTGTACATACTAACATATTAAGTAATTGTTTTGCTAATAAATTGTAATTTTTAATATTAATAAATGTGTTTATTTCAAATGTGGAATATTATATTTTATTTTACTTTTGTTTTTAACTACAGTATATTAAAGAAATAAAAATACTTTGCTTGTATTATTATATAAACTCAAAAAAAAAAGTAAAATTTTATTCTAAATTAATGTGTGAAGTTTAAGCGAAACACAAAATATGATATGAGATATTGTTGTATAAGCAATGTTTCTATAATATATACTGTACACAACATTATACTGCTAAATAGATAGACTAGTAAGTTAGTCACGTGATTTACNTATCTTGTAATAGTAATAACTCATTGTAAATACTGACATATTAGGAAATTGCTTTTCTAATAACTTTGTAAAGTAATTTTCTAATATTAATAAAAGTGTTTATGTCAACAGTATTTTATTTTACCTTTTTTAAACTACAGTATATTAAAGAAATACAAATATATGACTTTGCTTGTGTTATTATATAAACTCGAAAAAAAGTAAAATTTTATTCTAAATTAATGTGTGAAGTTTAAGCGAAACACAAAATATGATATGAGATATTGTTGTATAAGCAATGTTTCTATAATATATACTGTACACAACATTATACTGCTAAATAGATAGACTAGTAAGTTAGTCACGTGATTTACCGATGTTTCGATTGCTCCCAGGCCTGACTTTCGTAATTCGATATAGAATTACGAAATTTGCTAAGGATATAGACAATGTTTAATAGAAAGTAAATAAATTTTACCGGATTTAAATCCGTGCATAAAAATTAACTAATGATTATTAATTAATTGCACAAATCAAAATCTAAATACAAACCGATGTAAAGCCGTTCAGCTAAATATTCGTTTTATTAAAGATTCTCTTCTTCCAGTAAGAGATTTTTACTAGTGTTACAAAAAGATTTTACTTATTTTTAGAAATGTGCATAACAATGTGTTTGTGCTAGTATACACTTATCGGGTTTCGTTATAAAAGACCTACTGCATAAATTTATGTTACCATAGTCAGGTTTATTTTTGAACTTGGCTACACAAAATTTTACTGACTGATTTTGATAAAAACATAAATTTTAATTTTATCAAAAGCAGTGTAAATCAAATTTTTGCACAGAAAACTGTATTATTGCATCAGTTTTTTTAACTCTTTCCACTTTGTGGGCACTAAGAGGGCATATTTTCGCAAGCCCATTATGTGTTCGACCAAGCCCACAATAGGGCATCCGGGTGGTGAGGTATGGGGCCCTACATATATCCGAACGGACCACCCCCGAAAAATTCATGGGGATTATTTGACCCGTCTTGATTTAATCCCGGGTCCACCAAAACGATAGGCTGCCACCTTAGCCACTCGGCCATCCGGCCTAATTATTTCATAAGTGGTGCCTGTTAGCTGCCACTGTTATAATAGCAGCCACTTGCCACCATTCTATAAAATCCACTATTTACAGTCAGCATTATTTTATTTTAGCACAAGATATTGTTTTAATAATACCTTTAATGTTTACCAACCTTACATCATCTTTACTTACAACATTAATTAAGTGAAATAATATAAAGACAACAAGGAATAAATATAAATTAAAACTTCCGTACTTACGTAGTTAACATTTTCACTTTCCAGGTTGTAATGAATAATAGAGGGAAAGTATGGCGATCGTCAGGATCAAACTATGGTGAAGTGCAGATTATGCACGCCACCATGGTTCGGCCTTTTTACCACGAGAAATAAGGAAAAACCAGAATCGCTTGGCACACGTGGCCAAGCGATTACGTTCCCTGAACACTGGCAATTCGGTCGTGTGTTCGCTTCTCACCCAGATTGGCTGTCCAAGTTGAGTTTTCTAGGTTTTCTTTACGTCTCTAACGCATGAATGTCTTATCCTTAAAATTCCTCCCCTCCCGGAAGGCATTCTTCCCTGCGATCATCATAAACGCATACAATTACTATTACATGACACGGGGCGTGTCACACGTTACCACGTGGTAACGTGTGCACGGCTTCTAGGCTATATCGCCCCGTGGTAACGTGTGACACTTCCGTGTCACACGTTACCACGGGACGATATAGCCTAGAAGCTCATGCCCAACTAGCCATTACACAAGATAATGAAAAATTCTTAGTACAAATTATACAGTTTATTTTTAGTGAGTGTAGTGAGTATAAATGAGCTTTTTTTTAATTTGTGAAGATTTAAAATTAAGAAACCATAACATAATTTTTTTTGTATTTTTGATGGTAAGAAATAAATGACACATTTTAAGATTTAAATTGATCAAAATATCGATTTTTTTAGATTTTAAGAAAAATCTTTATAAAAATGTTTATAAAATAAATATAAACAATGATTAATTAGTGATATTGTTGTGTAATTGTATAATTACTATTGATAGTTTTGAAGAAACTTGCTTATCATTTTCATTAAATTTATTTAGAAAGTTAAAAAATTCTCATTTACATTAATTTGAATTAATTTTGGTGATTAATTTTTTGCTTCTAAATTTTGCTTATTTTAAAGTCTAAAGTGAATTTCGTGAGGATGTTTTAAATTTTCAATCTGTAGAAGATACTATCGGAAACGTAATGGACTGCAGCAAATAATTCTCGAAATAAATTCAATGGCTTTCTTCATTCCAAGTACTGCTGACTCATTAAATTTAGTAGTGAATGATGCAGCTAAATATCTTCTG